ATAACAATGATATTTTATTTCGAAATTTTGTTGAAATGCTTTCAGGCATTGCTTTAGTACCTGTAAATGATATTGATTCTGCTTGGAATATAGTAAAAAATTATTATAATGTAAAAAATGAACAAGTAGATCATTTAATCAAGTATATTAAAGATAACTGGTTAAATAATAATAGACCTTTGTATAGAAGAGAAATATGGTCTTATTATGAAACGCTTAGAGGACGAACTAATAATTCTCTAGAAAACTTTCATAGTAAACTTAATAAATTGATTAATAAAAATACCGCCGATTTTTTAGATGTATTGCACTATTTAAAAGAATGTTTAATACTGTCTAATATTGAACTCAGAAGATTGATTGATGAAGGAAAAAATAAGCTTAAGAAAAGAGTATATATAGAACAAGATAATAAAATTTATAGGCTTTGGAATTCTTATAATAATAATTTAATAAATTAAGAAGAGTTATTATTTGATGCAAAAATTCAATTCAATACTTAATTATATTTTTGTTTTTAAGAATTTAAAATTTTTTTGGAAAATAGTGGTTTTAGGCCATAACCATCTGTGGTATTAATCACAACATGAACTTTTACATCTTTTTTATAAAAAATTTGTTGAAAAATTATATTATAAATAAAATTTTTTGAGGAACCCTTAATTTTTTTTATACCAAAATGAGGTATAACCACGTGCTAATGCAGGATAGGAACCCCGGCCATCTAAATTCATATCTAATAGGAATCAGTCTGAACAAGTATTTGATAAACTACATTTTTGTATGCTAATTGAACCTTTTTCTATCAAGGAGAAGGTGTAATAGAGACTTTTTGTGCACTGGCCAACACTGCCACACCATTCGTTACATAATTTATCATATATTTTTTTATAGTGACTTTTTAAAAAATAATTTTCCTTGAATTTTATTTTTCGATAAATAAAAAATTTTAAAAGAAGGGTTACACAAAAATGAAGAATAACAAAGGACAATTAAGTGACTACAAAAGTCGATATAAGAAAAAATAAACAATTTACGAATAACAAATAACTTTTTATTTGCTTTTTCTTTGGGGCAATATTTTCGCTTTGTCCACCTCATTCGCAGTGACCACAGTTTTTACAAGTAGACAGATTGAATTTTCTACATTTTTAAAATCTTAATAAAGATTTTTATTTATTGTCTTTTATACTCTTCGTATAAAAAGTACCCGCCTAAAACATCAATAATTGAATAATTTGCAATAAGATTTTTATGAAATAAAATCTTTTGAGACAAAAGTTTTTGAACAGTAACGTCAAATAAATTTTCATATCTATTAAATATTTCAGTAAACTTTGACACATTATTTTTAGTCAGATCGTATCTTACATAACCTAAATTTATAATATTTTTACCTTTATTATTTAACTTAACACCAAAATTATACATATCACTTGTGGTTCCCTGTTCACTTTCGGTAGTAGGATTTTTTTCGGCGCATTCTTTAAACAATTCATTAAATCTAAATCTTTGTTGTACTTTTTTTCCTTGTTTATTATAAAAAATAAAATCATCTGATTCATTGGTTCTCGCAGCCTGTTTAAAAATAAGCGACGCGTAATAAAATAATCTTAGAGTATTTTCATTCTGACAATCTTTGTTTTTTTCTTTTAACGCGGCATAAATATCACTCCACTTATAGTTTTCTACAATTTCAGAGTTCATTGTTAAAACTGTAGTGGTCGGAGATTGTGATTGTTTTTCCTTATAAATACACATAAGGATTAATGAAAATATAATTATACCCAGTAGTATGCATACATAATCAAAACGATTCATTGTCATTGAAGCGTTAAAGCGATGTTATTAATTAAAGGATAAACCTTTAATTTACTATAAAAGATTAAGGAGATTGTCTATTCTTATAATTTATGTTAATACTGAGCATTAAAGCTTACTATAGAATAACAAATTATCTAATTTACTAAAATTAGGATATAAGTATTATCTATTTACCAATAAAATTCTAAAAATTTTATGTTTTTATTTTTAACATTTCTTTAAAAACTTTGTTAATTTCTGTTATAATTTTTTATTTAAAAGTAGCAAAAGTGTTGTAAATTGTTTATTATACTGTAGTTTTTTGACTACATGCCAAAAACCTTTACAATATGATTTTTTTAAAAATTTTGTTTCTTTTTTAACCTTAACCTACGAACAAAAAAATATTATAATAACCGTATGGATAAAAAACGCCATAATAATCATGTTATTAAAAGTAGTTTATAAAATTACTTTAGACTTGATATTCTCCCCGGAGATATGGCTGTGATAATCTTATCAAATGTTTCTATTAAATTTTATATTCCTTTATTATTATTTTAAAAATTTATCTATAAAAGGAATTGTTTATTTTAATAAAAACAAAAAGGAAAAAAATGAGAAATTTTCATTCCAGTAACAAATATATGTGAGAAAGGATAACAACAAAAGCCTCTCAGCATAAAGATCTTAATTTAAATAAAAATAATTTTGCATTTTACAGTATTTTAAAAAAGTATCTCAAGTTCGGCTCCCTGCCCAAAGGTTACGAGAGTCACATCTACAAACAATATTAACTGTAGTTTTTTTAAGTTGTAATCAGAAAATTTGATTCTGAAGATTATGGGAATAATAGATTTTTTTTAGGGTTACCTATGTGCAGTGTAAATTCTTATTAATTAAGATATTTTTAGATTATGTAAGATACATGAGCATACTTCAAATTTCAATTTTCATTTTAAACGGGAAATCTGAGGCCATTTTGGTATTAGATCTAAAACATTAAAAAAATATTGCAGTAAACATTATCTATAATTATTGATAAATTATTTTAAATGTCTTAACATAAAAGTCATAAAAAATTAGAATAGTACATATATTATAAAATTTTGTGAAATGAAGACTTTATCAATTAAGCGTCAGTAATAGGCACAAAAAATCTTACCAATTATTTTGCAATAATATACAACCCGAAAGTATGGAAAAAGAGCTTGTTATACCTTACATTAGTAGAAATTTTTATACAACCTAAAGCATGGAAAAAGAGCTTGTTATACTTTACATCAGTAGAAATTTTACTAAGAAATATTAAATGAGACAATCTAAACATTAATAGTATTTTTTTACTAAGATTTAAGCAACGTTTTTTTATAAATTATGTTTTATATTTAAAGACACAACTTTACATAATCTAAAAATTATATTTATATGATAAATTCAAAGAAAGATAATTTACAATAATATCAAGAAAATTAGCATGATCAATTGGTTAAAAATTTAATATTAAATTATTTTAGTAAAATAACATGTGAGATATTATGTTTATTAAGCTTTTAAAAAATATAAAAACCTTTTTAGAAAGTAATTTATTTTGTGGAAATCTTAGACAAAAAATGTACGTTTACTTAAAAATAAATTAAAACACTTGCATTATAATTTTTATACTTTTTTAAAAAATATATACCTGTTTTATAAATCAAACAATTAAAATTTACTGAAGGCTGCTTGTTTAAATAATTTTGCTATTTTAGAATAAATTTTTTGAAGTTTCAATTAGCATTTTTTTTTTAAAAAAAATTCAATTTTTCACATTGTTTTTATACAAATTAAAAATTTCAAAACAATGCGCATTAATTGTGATATTATGTTGTTGTGCCCAAAAGAGTCGTTGCTAAAAAGCATGGGTTAATTTTTTCTAAAAATTATATAATACCGATTTAAGCTTATCAACCTTAGCCTCAAAGTAAACCGTTAAAGGTACTATCAACATATATAATTTCGAAACAATTAAATATTCAAATTTAATTTAAAAGTGAATAATCTTTCTGTTTTGATTGTTATTTTGTTAAAAATAGTTTTAGATAAAATATTTAAATTTATAATATAAAACATATTTTGTACCTTAAAATATTTTAAAAATAACAAAAGTGTAATTTAATATTAGAATTGGTTTTTTAAAGTTTAAAAATTCTATATTGCTTTTGTTGAATAAATAAATCTTAGATTTGTTGATTACAAATATGAAAAAAAATAAATATTTTATAAATTGCTAAAAATTTAAACATTCAAAAAATTATTTGCGAACATTTTTACATACTAAAAAACAAACAAAAACATTTCTAATTCTTGTTTTATAACTTAAAAGATTTGCAGAAGTTATAAACTATTGTGTTTTATCTTTTTTTTTTATTGTTTTTGTAGTCAAAATAATATAAAATTTTAAAGTTTAATATAAAACTTACAATTTTCATTTTAAGCATTTAAAATTTATTTATTTAATAATGCTCAAGTAAATTTAATTTTTTAAAATTATCAAAACTGACGTATCAGTCTAAGAAATATTGTTTAATATTAAAATTGTTTTTTAAATGATTTATTTTAGCCTCATTAGACTGCGTATTTTTAATCATATTTATCATACCCCTAAGCTTGGAATTATTTAAATAATAAAATTTTAATAAATGTCAAAGACTTTGCGACTGAATGCTTTGGTTGTATAGTTCAAAGTATATGGTTTACCGCCAAGACGGATAAAAAACTCAAAAGTTAAATTATAATTGTCGTACATTCATTTATTTATTATATTTTTAATCCTAAACTATCATGTCCGAAACACGCAAAATAATTAATATTAACGTCAATAATGTTTGCTTTTGTTATTTTTTATATATCATAGAATATTACAATATTGTATCATTGACAACTGTTAAAAAAGGACAATTTAATAGCTTATAAAGTTTATTTATATAACAAAAAGCTTCTACCTGCTTTTTAAAAAAGATTAATTTGTTCTTGACATTATTTACAAAACAAAAAAGAACTGGAAAATTATAATATTTATTTAAACCATAAGGATGGATAAAGTAAGCAAAATAATAAAAAAATATTGATTAATAGTCTAATTAACTTTTTGTTAAAAAATAATTGTGTGCTATGACGCAACATATTAAAAATTGTATAAATTTAAAAAAATAAAAATGCCCATGAACAATTTTAATGTATTATTTTGGATGTCTTGTATTTATCCATCACAAATAATCCCAGTAGTTCCAGAAATACATAAAATGTATGAAATTGACTTGAAAAGTATCTCTCCTGCAAAATACGACTTTTTTATAAAAAATTATTTCCTATCAAACGAAAATATTCCGATTATAACTGAAGTCAGATCACCACGATCTAATATTCAAGGATTTGTTTGTATTCATTTCAATCGGGTAACTGATACCTACATTAAAAGCTTGTATTGTTTTTCAAAAGATTTTACAAACATTGATCAGATATTTGACCAACTTTATTTTACTAAAGCTATAGGACAACATAATATTCTTAGCATACAAATTCCTTCAATGTTGTTTAATAATGCTCTAGAGTCTCAGTATAGTATTATAGTCAAAAAAATTTTTAAAAATATTAGAGAAATAGATTTGATAATGCAAAATGATTATGTAGAATTTTTATTGTTTAATAAGCTTGATATGATTTTGTCATCTCGTCAACTTCTTGAAGAATTAACAAACAGATCTGGATCAGGAATTAGGCATTCTTTAGAAAACGAAGATTACATTTTAGCATTTTTTGATAGAGATTATGATAAGATTATTAGTTTTATAAATGAATTTATTCTGTTATTACAAGGAGATGGTGAAGTGTTAAAACGTGAGCTACCTATGTTTCTTATAAACTTTATTAAAAATAATCTAAATACTTTTTGGAAAGATGAACTTATGCTCTCTAATAAGGATTTTGATACTTTTAAAGATATTCATCTATTAAACTGCTTTTTTTTAGATCTAGCTAACTTATTTGATTTAACTGAGGATCAAAACCACAAATTTGAACTTTTTGATCATGATCAATGTATCGGATCGCTTTTTGGTCATTCATTGGTGACTGTTTTAATGCACTTTCAAGAAGATATTGATGAAAAAAATTTAAAATGTTTTGTTTATGACAAGAAGAAAAACGTGTTGAAATATAAAATAATAGTTGATTCAACAAAAAGAATTATTTTTTTTATGCTTGACTTACGTTATTTGAAAGAATCTAATATTAGACAAATAGATTGTATAGTTCAGACTCCCCAAAATCGTTATCAATCATGTGATATTAATTTAATTGAATACTTAGAATAAAATTTTAAGTAGAATGCTTTTTTAAACTTTTTTATCAAAGAATGATATTTTGTGTCACTACACTTTTTATAGAAAGTTTGAATAGGAAAATATGAATTTGTACTTAAAAGCATTTAAAGATATGTAATTCTTACAAATAATAATTGTCGCGAGCCCAACTAATTAGTTTTTTTTCATATACCATTATAAAGTTGTTTATTGCAATAAAATTAAAAAATATAGATATTAAATCTATAAAAATACATGTTTTTATCGTAGGAAAGTTTCAATAATTACAATATTAAAATTATTGATTTATTTTCAAATAATGTGTCATCTAAACTTATTGTTCATCTAGGTAGGTTTTTAAGAAATAGGATAATAGATATAATTTATATGTTTTTTATAGTTCCATACTGAACTATTATTTGAACATCTTTTGATTGGGAGGAAACACCCAATATAATTGAGATAGATGATAGAAAGTTTGAAAAACAAAATATAAAAAGACCATTACGTTGGAGATATATGGGTCTTTGATGGTGTAGAAAGAGGTATTAAAAAGACTTTACTTAACCTTTTGAAAAAAGAAACAAGGGAACATTAGAAAAAATTCTGAAGGCCGAGGTAAATCTTTATAATAAAATTTATTCTGGTTGCTGGAAAGCATATAACGATCTAAAGAATATTTTTTTTTTGCTCATAAAACAGTTAACCATGGCAAACTATTTGTGAACAGAAAAGAAAACGTCATACTTATATTATTGAAGCTAAGTGGAATGCTATAAAAAAACATTTCTTATAAAAAAACAAAACAAAATAACTCGTAAATGTTTATTTACATTGCGCGTCAAAATTTAAAGACCAATAAAATTCTATTTTTGTCAATACAATAAACGTAAAATAACAAAGATGAGATTTTAAATCAAGCTTAAATAAAAAGTTACATAATAATATTATTTAGATTTTTTAATCAACCTGGTCATGCGTCACTTAAAAAATTTTAACGTTGGAGGAATTTCCCCCTAAATTAACAAAATTGTTTATTATAGACTTTATATATGTTAAAGTTATAAATAATGGAAATTCCTCAGCATCTACTTTTGAAAACATTTTGCATTGCTTTTTTAATTTTAGATTCTTTTTTGATAATTTTACCAAAAATAGAATTTTCTAAAGCTTTTCTTCTTTTATTGCCGATAATTAAATCATTTTTTCGAACCTCATTAATAAATTGTACTATTGAAGGATGACTTACCCGGAACAAGCTATTAATGGTTCTATTCCATCCATCACACATATTTGTTGTTAAAGGCAGATCTTTGATTTCCGTGGAAAAGCAAGACCAGTTCATGTCATTTCTTACAATATAGTTCTTTTCAAAAAACTCTAAAAATTTATTTATATCATCCCTTAGATATTTTTTTACAATTTTATCTTTTAATTTGTAAAAATTTACGCCAATTTCTAATTTGGGCAAAAAAGATAAAGCCAGAAGCTTCTTAATTTGAAATCCAAAACTAGTATCTTGCCTATATAAAGTCTATAAATGATTTTTAGCTAAATTTCTCCACAATATTTGACCAAAATGAAATAGACAATGTGAGATATTTATGCCTGGAAAATTATTTTTAAATGCTAATCTGATTGAAATTTCAAAATCACATATTAAATTCTTAATTTTAAACTGGTTTAAAAGCAAACTTTTTACTTCGCAAATCATTCTGTTGCAATCCGAAAGGCCTTTTCCGGGTAATAATACATATAGTAAAGGCATAAATTCTTGATGGTAAGAAAAATGAATGATAAAAACTTGAGAAAAACCACTGGGCGCTGATTTAAAAGTACCACAACAAACCCAGGTGGCTGCATTTTGAATCATCGAAAGACAATCATTATTAAAAAGTATAATCATTCTATTTTGCTTAGCATATCCAATATCGTACTTTAAAAAAATTTTCTGTCAAGGGTTTGTTTAAATAACTCTGGTATATCATCATACTCACAATCATTTAAGAATTCATTATTTATCCTCCCCTTAATGTATCTAAGTGTCCTGCCTAAATTTTTAGAATAACCTAATTTATTACGTTCAACAATATCTAAGCCTGCTGCTGTCTGGACGTAAATTTCCCTATTCGTGATTTGTAAGGTTTTTCTAAAATGTTTCATTTTAGATTTTGCCAACATCACAGTAACATCTTCATCGCCTATTGCATCGTAATTATGTACACTATCTTCATATATGTTTGTAGGACTCGACATTATAAGTCGTACCTTGTAATACTTGGTACTACATCGAAAAACCTCATCTTTATCACTTTGCTTAGCCAAATAAAATTTATAATTTTTGAAAATACAACAGTTATTTCCTTTATTAGAATCTAAAAAAATAACTTCAGACATCAACAATGGGGGTAAAAAATATAGTTAATTTAGGGGGAAATTTTTGCCAGCAGCTTAAAATTATAAAAGCTTTTATTTAATGAATTTTAGCTATTGTAATCATGTTGTTTGACCGATTTGAAGCAAAAGAAGTTGTTGAAAGAAATTTTTTTTTGATGATTTCTGTTTCTCTTAGCTAATGATACCCCCTTGGGGGAAATTTTTCTTAAATAGCTTTTTAATTTCCTTTTGAGAGCTTTTAATAAAATTAATATTTTTATCAGTTGATTTCGGTACTATTTAGGTGACCTGAAATCCCTACTGTTTGTTTGCTTTTATTTAATATATTATTTTAGAGGTTTGACAGGTTGACTGAACACCTGGATCGAGGAATTCTAATTGTCAGTGATGGTTTATCTACTGACAGCTATGAAAAGTGGTTTTAAACTTATTTAATGCATCTCAGGGACATGATGGTTTTTAGGATTTTTTAAAAAATTAATTTATCTTTAATAAGTGGATGAAATTCTTTAGTTTGCATGAAAAAGAACAAATTGATGTATTGCGATATAAAGTATCACAACAAACCACAAATTAATAAATACAGGACATTCGCCATTAAGGGAAGTCTTTATGTTAATTTTATAGGAAACCGAATTAAGGCACATTTTAGATCTTTTATAATTTATAATTTTTCTTTTATTTTATCAAAAATATCTTTATTTATCATAATGAGGGGTAAAATTTATATCAATATATAACACCACCTCCTCAAGACGGTTAGTCTCATTCATTTTAAACCTTTACAAGTATATCTTTAATGCCATTATGCCTTTTCTTTATAAGTCTACCATTACTAAGCTTTACAACGTATAAGTCTTTTTCACACCTTGCCGTAATTTTTTCCGCATCTAGAAATCTTCTTTTTTCATACTTATCACACCCGGAAATTCTCTTGTTTAGCTACTCTGATTAAGGCTTGGCGCACTTTTCATCTATTAATTTTTTACCCTCAATAAAAAAAGTTTACTAAAAAAGTTTTGTTTTATATAGTCAGTCTTATTTCCAATGAAAGCTAAATGCAATTTTCTTCAAAAATTCTACACCGTAATACTCAGAATATCTATTAAGAATTTCTTTCCTTTTATCTTCAAAATTAACAGTAGAATCACAATACAGAGATTGTAATGGCTTATTTTCTGCTCTTTCTTGTTCAATTATTAATTCTTTTAATATTAAAAAAAATGATGCTTGTTTTACCTTTACAAGACTGTTTAAATGCCTATGCATTCTTTCTATGCTATTTGTCGTCTTGGTATTCCGTTTAAAGTTCTATCAAATACATTCAAAAAGCTTATAGATTTGTTACTATCATTTTCTACAAAATATTCAGCTTTAAACCATTCAAATAATTTTAATGCATCATAAGACTTTTCTGTTTTAAGAGAAACGTTCAACCTGGCGGCCAAAAGTAATACATCATCGATCGGAACAAAGCTGAGTGCCAAAATCGTCTTGACATGCAATTTAACCTCGTTATTTCTCCTAAATTCTTGCACAAACTTTATATTTTGCACCCTTCTTTATACAATTTGTCCTAAGTGAAAGTTGCAGCCATAAAGTTTAGAACTTGTAAAAAAACTTTTTAAGAGCATTCATACTAGCTCTTTCAAAGTCCAAAATAATATTCTTCTCTTTTATTACTTCTTCTTTTATTTTTTTACTTAACCATTCAAAAAGCTTATTACAAAAATATTTATTGTTTGTTTTCATAAAACAATACAAAAGAGGCAAATTTTTATTTCTAGCATTGCATTGTAAGGTAAAAATTTGTTCAAAGTTCTTAGGAGCAGATCTGAAAGTGCCATCACAAATCATTATTTTGCAATTGATGAGATGTGAAATATTTTCATCAGTTGAAAATACAACAATTCTGTTCTCATCATGTATTTCAGAATCGTAGAACAAAAACTTCTTCCCTCTGGTTGTTTTTGTCAATTCGTATGGAATATCATATTCCTTACAATTGTAAAATTATTGGTCTCTCTAGCCCTTGTGACCAAACTGTTCATCATCTTATAATCTATAATGTTTGAGTAGTTAAATTCAGATATTACATTAGAGATTGCAACTCTTGATGTTTCAAAGGCGTCTAGGATGCCCTGTTTTAACTTACTAGCAAAGAGTACTTTGCTAAATTTAATATCATTACTGCAATGATTATGCTCTGAAAATTCCAGTAAAAGACAATCTATTGTAGTTTTTAATAATGAAGGACACCCTCTCTTATTGCACCTCCAGACCAATTTACCAACAGAATGTTCCTTGAAATTGTAAAAAAAGCCTTCATATGCAATTTTTTCTTTTCCTCTAATGCTTTTGATGATATTATTTGATAAATTTTTCATAATAAGGGCAAAAAATTAAAATTATAGAAAAAGCACCGAGTTTTTTAAAAAATTATTTAATGATTTTTAAATATAGGGGTAAAAAATTAATCCATTTTTCATCTGCGGTGAAAAATGAGCCTAACGAAAGAATTTATGAACAGGAAAGAAAACGTACATACTAACACCATTGAGGCAGGTGGAATGCTATAAAAAGAAACATTTCATTTAGAAACAGAACAAAAAAGCTTGTTACCATTTATTTACTTAGATTTATGCTATGTCAAAATAGTGAGATAAGTGAATTGTTGTACTGCCCTCTATCCTATAAATATTAAAAAAAATATTTTTGAATCTTTTACTCTCTAGTACTTGTGTCTTTATATAACTAAATTTAATTTATTTGTAAACAACTGATTAATTAAAAAAATATTGAAAAAGAACTAGAAAAAAATCACGATAAAAAAAATCATTTTAAAATATTTTTTTTCTAGTTCTTCTTCTATGTGCAACATTTTAAAAATAAGAGATAAAAAATTTAAAAACGGGGGTAGTCGAAAAAGTTACAAATTTGAGGAGCTTTAACCAAAGTTAAATTAATTAATACGCTATAAAATATATCAGTTAATTTCTCTATGTTCTATTCCTTATAAATAACATCCATAATGTTTTTAAGAGGGGAAATTAACCAATTGATATCTGTAGATAAACGTGTCACAGAATTAAAAAGCATTTTTAAATTATAATTTATCTTAACTAAAAAATCCCGAGAGTATTCTAATCTTTCAATACACATTTTTATAATCACAACAATACATTCTAGTTTTACTTTTTGTGAAATATTTGTATATCTTTGCGAAATATCTTTACACTCATTATAAGTATATTGAAGACTTTTATTTTGCAGTTTAGCAGTTAATTCAAAGGACAAATAATATTTTAAAACCTCTTTTATAAACATATTGCATTCTACTATTAATTCTTTTACAGACTTACATGAAGATTTTTTAAAAAAAGAATTTTCTTCTATCTTTTTCATTTGCCGGTTTATTGTTTTGTTAAAATTGTTTTTTCTCCCATAATAACTCCTTCTAATCTTTGATAACTCAGACATAGATTTTTTGTCTTTTTTTTCAATATGGAATACTTTTTTTGAAGTCAAAATTTGCTCATTCTTGGCTTCGTCAAATGCAGATTTTAGTCGATTCAGAACCTCTTTACAAAAATCCATAAATAAATCTAAATGTGCAAATTGTTGATTACTATATTGTACAGTTTTATTTTGAAATATAAGATTGTTACTTAATTTTTTTTTAGACATTAGATATCTATTGAACTTTTCAACATAAACATCATAAAGCTTATAAAATGGGCCTTTTTTATCTTTAAGTCTTACAATCTTATTACAATTTATAATGTCATTTTGTTCATTTATCGTCTTATCAGAGTTTAAGCCTTCATCATATTGTTTTTGAAATATAAAAGTGTTAGATGTGCTACTACAGTATATATTTGGACTACTTTGAAAAGTTCCTTCTAAATGTCTTGCATTTTCGGAAGTTATACATTTATTAGTATCTTCTAATTTAAATTTTTTCATAACAGGGGTTTCAAGAGTTTCATTACCTGTTACGTTGTTATTATTTTGAAAACATTGAAAATTTATCGTATCAAAAATGGGATTATCAATAAAATAGCTTAGTCTATTTTTGAGCTGTAATTCCTCTTCTAAATCTAACGCATTTTCAATTATCTTTCCTAGCTCGAGGTCTTCCTGTTCCAAAAATTGATCTGTGCTATTGTGTTCATATGAAATTTGATTACATTGATTTTTATTTTTTTCACCAAAATAATCATTCATATTACTTGCAACAGATTCCGTAACATTGATCGATCCATTATATGTCGAGGTATATATTCCTCTAAAAAAGTAAAAAAATTTAAACATTTTAAGGGATAAATTTTTTAATTTATTAAATTATTTATTAGAAGGTTAGTATTTTCTTTAATATCTGGCTTATTGCTTCATTGACACTACAGAACAAATTTGGTGATAAATTTATCTCTCCCCATTCTCTAATACATTTATGTCACCCCTTCTTCGATACTCCAACGAGAATTTTAAAATTTATATCATCAATCATTAATTATTATCATCCTATATATATAAAAAGTTTGAATCTGAACATTTTTTTATTTTTTAACCCTTCTTTTTCTAAAATTTGGAAAACGATTTTTTAAATAAATAACAATCTTTCATAGTTGATTATATTATATAAAGCTTAATTTTTCTAATATATTTTTCCTTAGGTTTTCTTCGATTATTCAAATTGTAAAATACGCGCTATTGTCATTTTATAATTAAAAGTGTGCAATGTTTAATTTTAAAACAATACATACATGCATAAAGACATATACACATTATTTAAACAAAGAAAGCATGTATCGTATTTAAGTCCCGTTTCAAATGGGATAGCGTTAGCTAGTTGATATATAAAAATAAGTTATAGTAGATGAAAAAATAGATATAAGTCTAATTTCATTTAATTAAAAATATTTAGCACGCATGGACAAAAAATGCCTGCATTATACTATAAATGACATAAATATAGATGATAGTGTTTTAATCAAAAAGATTTTAACACTAAGAGTAAAACAAAAAAGTTAAAATAAGATTCATTTTATTCTACGATTAAAAAAGAAATTAAATTTTAGGCAATAATAGCATTAAAATTGAAAGTAATGATTATGTAAAAATTGTTCTTTTTAATTAATTTTCTCGCACGTTTACGCTCCTACTCCTTATAGTATTAAAAAGTAAACTTATCTAGATTTGATATGCACATCACTCCTTGTGTTTTGAATAGTAAAAGCACGTGTATAATTTTATTTTTTAATTTAAAATCACTGGCAAAAAATTTCGCTTTGGCGGAATTTTCGCCAGCATATAAAAATTTTTTTTTAAAAAAGCTGCCCTAAAAAGTGAAAGTTAATCTTTCATTTGATGTAAATCATATCATTAAAAGTATATACCTCCGTAATTTCTTTAAACTTATGTAAAACATCCTCTTTAAATTTTTTCTAGGCTTTGTTTAAATTTTAAAATTTCTTTTAAGATTTTAATCTTAGTATTTTTGTTTGACGATACTTACCCATTTCATTTAAATAGTCGCGATTGCACAAAATTATTAATAATTCTATTAAACTTGGGTGAAGACCTTTAGCTTTTTTTTAACGAATAATTAAAACCCTTTTTACCATTATTAGTAAAAGGAATATCAAAGATAATTCTCTAATATAAATCATTATTCCTAAATATATACACAAATACCAATTATTAT